AAAATAAGAACCAAGATGCATTATGTAAAGGTACAATCCCAATGAGAAATGTAATTGTGTTGTATACGTACAATGTACCAATAAAAGAATTTAATAAAATTTAAAAAAAAATAATGTTTAGGGGTCCATTAGAAAATGCAATGAATAAATTCATGAGAAAGTGTCCAAGTGAAATATAGTAGCAATTATGACAGAAGGCTAATTGCTATAATATGTGGACAACCTAAAAATCAGTTTTAAAAAATGTGAAAAGCCTCATAGAAAAATGAGCAAAGTATTGCAATGGAGAGATTATAGGGAAAGACGTACTCAATCTCATTCAATAATGAAATATTTTTGCCTGTCAAATTGGCAAAAAAACAAAAGTTGGAAATATAACATTTTCAATGGGTATGTAAATATGGGCAACTTTATCCAAAAGACAATTTTTCCAGCTCTGTTAGATTTTAAATGTGCATATCATTTAGGCCTATTAAAAGTTTATTTCTGAGAGTTTATTCTGCATCCATTTACTGTAATATTATTTACAGTAATAAAATAGAAATAACCTAATTATTCATCAATAAGCAAATAGTAGATACATAGTAAAATATTCTGAAATCACGCTGATAATGTAATAGTTCTGTTTGGGCTCAGAAGGAAAGATTATCTACAGGGTTTTTTCATTGCTTAAGTTAACAACATGTTGTACAAGAATACAACTATATGCTTAGTATAATTATATCTTAAAATTATATGCCTATAAAATATCTAAAAGGACACAAGTGAACAATTAGTATTTATAGTGAGATTTAAGATAGGAAAGAGAAGACAAGCAGTGATACTTCAATTTATACCTTTAAAAAACTTCTTGATAATTGATTTTACAGTGAGCAGATACTGCTTTTGTAATCAAAAAAGAATGTACAAGCCTTTGGAGGAAATCTGTCTATCCGCATTATGTAGTTTAGTAACCTTCTCCCTTAAGTGTATATCATTATTTTTAAAAAATAAATTTTATTGTGTATGTTTAAGGTATACAACATGTTCTAAGACCCAGCTGTAGCAAAATGGCACTATAGTAGAACAGATTAGTGTACCTTCATTTCACATAGTTACTCATGTTGAGAGTAGCCACAACCCACTCATTTAGCGAAAATCCTAAATAGGGAATACTATTATAAACCATAGTCCTCATGTTGTGCATTGTACATTTGTGTTTTTCAAATTGTTCACTCTGCAATTCCATCCCTTTGACCCAAGTCTCGTCTGGACCCTGGGGTGACCCCTAGCATTGCTCACTGTGTGGGTGGGGAAGCATCTGACTGTGCTAGAGACACCTTCCCTCAGGCTCACTCAGTCTCCTGGCAACTCTTCACTCCTAAGGCAGAATGCAAGCATCAAGTCAGGAGGCCCAAGGGAAGAGAGCTAGGTAAGGACACATTGAAAACAATATTCTCAAATTACATATGAAGGATATATATAAAAACTATGAAATGGTGTAATAATTTTTTTTTACTTAGATGTAATCATGGCTGACATCAGAACCAAAATCATCTTCCTTTTTTGGAGTTGGTGAATGATAACCAGCCTAATTAGCAACACAAGCTTAAATATCATGTGGTTTCTCTTATAGCTAGTTAATAGGAAACTGGAGAAAGATCTTTTGCAAATGAGAAAAGGACCAAAAAGTAAAAGGAAGGGGGAGGGGCGAGCAAAGAGAAGTAAACAGAATTGAGATGTGTGATGTACATGTATCAACTTCCCAAAATGAATGTGATCATCATATACTGTAAACATGTACTAATAAAAACAATTTTAATTACAAAAGAATAGGCCTAAACTTATTCCCAATCCTTCATTTTAATCAAATATCCTGTTCTTACAATGGGGAGACTAACAATGCCCTATATCTATGTCCCTAACATGAGTAAAATCTAAAACTGTTCACTTCCCTTTCGTCATGGTCCTGAACCCCATAGTCCAGCGTCTTCTCCCCATTCTAATACAGCTCACTGAACAGTTATTTGAACAGCTGTTGACGATTGTCCACATGCTCGGTGTGGAAAAGCTTCATGACACTCTTGTACCCCACTATACTTTTAAAGATCCTTCCTATGAAAGCTAAATACATGTCAGATTTTTTCAACCTTTCAAAATGTGACAATTGTGAGAACTCAAAATACCTGTCATCTAAAATAGCAGCTGCTTGTTTTCTTTATTTCTCCTTGACGGTATTTCTTTTGAGATTTTTCTTTCGAAGCATTTGTTTGTGTGCCTACAATATACAAAACATTGTAGGAGTTGCAAGATTAAATAAGGCATAGCTGCATACTTGAAAACTTAGTTTTACAAATAAATAAACAATAACTAGTTTTTGTTGAGTCTTCTTCTAAATGATTAACAGGGAATAACTGATTTACTCTTATAAGAGACTTGAAGTGGATACGATTATTTTTCCAGTTTACCAATATGGAAACAAAAATGCCAAGCAATTGAACAAAAATAAGACTACTAGCAAGTGGCAGACCTGAAATCTGTTTGAACACACACCTCCACCACTGAGTTTTATACCTTCTCTCTATGCAAAGAGCCAATTATGCAGCAATAAGTGCTAAATGTCTTAGTAGTACGAAGTACAATAGGCATTCAGAGGAACGTTTCTGGTTGGAGTATTTGCGGATACCTGGTAGACGAATTTCAAGTGAGATTTGACAGAATGGAGGTGGATTGAAAGCCAGACAGGTGAAAGCTTTCAACAGCCAGAAAGTTAGTGCTTTGCATATAGTCTAAACTTTTCTTTTCATTATTTATCTTCTGTCAGCATAAGCAAATTTCAGCTGCAAACATGAATAAGAACCACATGTAAACTAGTTACTTTTCAGGAAATATCATTAAAATTATAAGAAAAATATATACACGTTCCACTGTTTCTCTTTTGCTGGCTGATTAATACACAGGGAGAAACTATAATAGAACACAGAATCAAAATGCTAAACAGGACATTATGTGTGTATATTTAAATATAACTTCATTTAGTTATTTTGTGAATAGGAAAGTCACTTAGAAAAGGTCAAGTGTCCTGCTGAAATCCATGTGGTGAGTTAACTTGGCAGACCTTTCACCTGAACCTAACCTGCAAAATCCTAGGTTTGCCACGCTTTGTTCAGCATCATTGTCACTACCTTAGCATAGGAGGTGCTTTTCTTACTTTATTGGATATATGACTCTAAGAATTCAGATAAGTAAAAAGTTCTCCATACACATGAGCAACAAACAGAAGTAGTATGTTTAGGGAATCAGCCTCATTTCAAAGCAGTATCCTGAAGGGTAATTAAGGAAATACCAAGACAATCACAGACACAATAAATGCATACCTGCTGTCTAGACATCTTTTTTTTTTTTTAGACATCTTCATTTTTAACTATGACACTAATCTTACCCTGGCTGGTCTTCACTAAAGTGCCCTTTAAACTATTGTTCATTAGGGTTTGATAACTTGGGGAAAAATAAACTAAAAATACCAGCATGCTCACTCTGCAGGAAAGATGCAGCTAAGCCAACATTTTTGCTCAGGTCCATCAACAAATGTATGTGATAAATTTTGCCAGGAGCACCAGGTTGGGGTGGGGGTGGGGGTGGGGTCCATGAGGTTACTAACTTGAAGCTTTCCTTATAGTATTTATTGCGTGGTCTAATTGCCATACACAGTGGTAGAGCAGCCTGGAGAGTTTGTACTAGCAAGCTGAATTTGTGTTCCAAGAAACATGCTAATTAGAAACTCCCTGGAAAAGGTACAGCAGTTGTTCTTGGTTTTCTAATATACAAACTGAGGGACCCAGAGGAACTAACCCTTATATCATGTGCACTGAGGGATATTGCTTTGTGGTTTCCCTGGTGAGTACATTCCTATGAGAAGGCAGCTCTGCCAGGTTATGTGCACTGAGAATGACCAAGTGATCCTCCATGAAGAGTGGGTGCCTTGCCTCTCACACCTGGGCAGCTACCACCCTGCCCAGCTCCTACCTCCCAACCAGGTAGAGGCTGCTTCCAAAGTCTAGGTTAGTCCTGGGAAAGTAGGGTCAAAAGACCTAACTTGAGAATCTGAGGTCAGCCTTAAATACTATTTATGGAAAGGAACAAAAATAAGGCAGAAGCAGAGTTACTCATATGGGTGGGATTCTCCCTCAAGGCCTATATGTAACAGAAAATGTGGCCTGGGCCAACTAGCCAAAGCTACCTTGTTCAATAAATAAGCATCTCCAGAGACATGATGTTACCATCGAATTATCTCCCAGTTTGGGGTAGAAGAATCATTATACTGAAATGGCTTTTCTGAAAAAAAAAAACAAAACCCTGAAATAAATAAATACACACACACACACACACACACACACAATCTTAGCCAATGAGAGAGAGTGGAGTTCAGAATATAGACAGTAAGTCCAGTAAATAACATTATTCATGTTGACTGACACATTGGCATTTGTTTCAGTTCCTCTTTAAAAAGAGAAAAATTTAGACTCATCTCTGAAAGGATAGTTTTTTAGGTTGCATATAGCTAATCACTTGAGAATAAAATTCTTATTTCTCAAAAAAATCAGAAAATATGTTTAAAAGATAAATCTAATTCCTGTCCTAGAAAACACCAAACTGAAAACTCATCATTATCATTGTAATTAATATAATAACAACCAATGTTTTGGGATTAACTAAGTGCTAAGCACTGGTACAAGTACTTAACATGAATTCATTATAACCTTTCACCTACCCAAGTAGTTATCTAGACTGAAACAAAATAATGCAGGATAGTCCCTGCAGTGAAGGAATGTTGATTTTAAGAACCTGTTAAATTTTGATTTTAAGAAAGGCGGTGAAATGCTTGGCATAGGTCTGAATAAGCAACATGGGCTGTGGTCACACGTAGAAATTCATACAAATTATATGATCCATCTACTTTAATAAAAATGTATATCCAACCGTTGGATTGTAGAAATTTCAAAGATTTTATTTTTTGACAGGATGCCTGCCGTTTTTCTCTCTTGACTCCCGCTTGTTTTATTCATTTTGGGGTAGTTGCCAATTAGACCCAATTGGTAAGTATAATTAATGGACAACTTGAACTTCCTCTTAAACCCCAGCCAAGAAAATTAACCACAGAAGCTTTCTTTTCCTTTAAAAACTCCTAACAGTTTCATTCCTTCTGACTGCTGTTTTTCTCTTCTAAGACATTCAACTAGATCAGGGATTAGTGACTCATTATTCATCATGTTAAAGATACCACATGGGACAGCTTGGCAGCACTACCACAATACTACTAGAAGGAAATCAGCATTTGTTTATGTTCCTGGAGCTATGCAAGGCATTTTTATAGGCACTATCTCTTTTAATATACTCAAAAGCCCTTTAAGGTAGAGTTATCTTCCTTGTTTGATAGGTGGCAAAATGGCAGCTCAATGAGATTATGCTCTTACCTTAAATACAATTAGTGGAACAGCTAGATGCAAACAAGGGTTTTGCCATGATCACAAAATCCTTGTTCCTTCCATCTATGTAAGGAAGTATTATCTTGTTCAAGGAGAGGCTCACCCAAAATTTTATTACTTTGGAAAACTTGGAAGTCATTATTTCATTCAACAACCATTTGAGCACTACCTCTGTGCCAGACATGGGCGAAGCATTGGTTAGGTTGGAATGAATCATCAGTAGGACTTTGGGAAGAGGGTGGTGGTTAGTGACAAGATGGAGAGAAACAGAATGAGGGGGGAACAGGGAAGGTGATGGGGAGAAGGAGGGAGGAAGGGGAGGAGGAGGGAGGAAGCAGAGGAGCTCCTGATCGTGTATCCATGGCTACCGTCTTTCCTCATGTGACTCGTGGACTTCCCTTTGTCATCCTATGCCTGAGAATATATGAAGGAGGCTGGGAAGGCAAAGGGACGTTCAGTTGTCATCACTGGCATCTTTTTTGATCATTGCACCATCATCAAATGCATGGGGATAACCATGACATGAAATTTTCCATCATTAATCCCATAACTATCCCGCAAGAGGGATAACAACTCTGTGTGCTGAAAGTCATAGTAGAACTTTATCCGGAGAGCTTAGGAAGTGGGAAGGGGCTAATCATACTCTCACAAACTAACAGCCACAAGTTCAAACCACATGTCTTGAAAAGGAAGTTAAATGTCCTCTGAGCAGATTACAGGTGTATCAAAAACATCTTACTCTGCTCTAATCTGTTCAAGCCATCATGCAGGCTTGCTGCAGCCTCAAGCAGTCAAGGAAAAGGCCTAATACCAAATTAATTATAAGTACTAAACCCATAATCTGTTCACTTGAGACGGAGCAAATTGCCACTTATCAGATGCTCTCAACTGACTATGTTGTTCAAAATTTCCCGTGCCTTTTAGAGGGTCTTCTCTCTGAAGATTAATTTCTATGAAGAAAACAACACTGTTGAAACCCAGCCACTCTTCATTTAATGAAATGACTTGACACAAGTTTGCCATGCTTGTTAATAAAAGTCACTTTGTCACTAAAGACCATAAGTCAAAATAACTTTGGGGAGAAGAACACATGTTAGTGAAACTTGTTCTTGGGGTTTGTGTGTCTTACTTACCTGACCCTCTTCCTATTCAAGCTAGGCGCTCTGTCTTTTTCAGCCAAGAGACTTGTCCACATTGGAATTGTTTGTTCAGGGACTAGGACACATCTTGTAATGAAGTAAGTCTGTGTAGGGAAAATGACTACCATACTAATCAGATCCTTAGGGACTTTTACATGCAGGGAAGAACTCAAAGATCCTTTTGCAGATTAGAAAGATTTAGGTTGCAAATATTTGACTGGCATTTTGGTCTCCAGATCGGCAAAATTACTCTTCTTGGTCAAATATGATAGATCCCCATAATGATAACGGAGACCTTCTTGATGGGACACAATCTCTTCCTTGTTGCATTGCTAACAAACAGACCTTAAATATTTTTCATCGGTTGTTTCATGTGTACCTTCTGTCCCACCCATTCCAAGATATTTGCAGTTTCTCTTAAATAACAGGGCCAACTGGATGTGTTTTTGTCCCTTTTTTATATTTGCTGAAACTCCATCCTCTCCATCCCGATCTGGCCAAAACCTATGTTCTCTCTACATCTCAGGTCAAAAGCATCCTCTACCCCCATGCTGCTTGTGATCCTCACATTCCTACATAGCTCTGTTACACATATCTTTGTCAGTCATAGCACTGCTTGCTTTGGGAGAGTGATTATCTGTCCCTCTACCTGCTCCATCCACCATCATCTTAGATTGTGACCTCCTACAGAGCAGTGCCCATATGTTATCCATCTTATCATCCTGACAGCTTAGTATAGTGCCTGACACATGTGAGCAGTTGCTCAATAAATTGCTATTATAAATATCAGTACTTGGTTTTCCTGGCCTTCTTTTAGCTTTGGTTTCTAGTCTGATGGAAATATAATGGAAGGATTTAGATTAAAAGCTAGAAAAGAAACATAACATAGACTCAAGGAGGAAAAGTAAATGGGAACATGTACAGGCAAAGACTACCTCTGACTCATGGGCACGGAAGCATTTAGTCTGTGGAATTTGATTACATTGCTATTAGATTGCTATCTTATGACTATAAAGAGTCTAAGAATATTTTTTTAACAGCCAATATCATCATGGCTTCAGTATTTCTATTTACACAGGGAAAAAAACTATCGATTTTCTCCTGCTTATTTAAAGTGATAATTGCCTGTAGCTGCTTTTTCAGTCTAGAGCAGGATCAATCCACTCAGTAGAAATGTATGGCTAATTTTAGAGAGACAAACATAAAATAAATGGAAATTTTGTGCTGAATGTGTACTTTTCTGCCACAAGCAACAATTTTACAGTTGGATATATTTAGAGATGATACACTATCTCATTCCCAAAGGGTCTTAAAGAAAAGTGGGCTGTGATTTTAATTTGCTTAAAGTGGTTTAGGCCAGGACATTTATCATATGATCCTTCAAAGTCCCTTTCTAATAGTTATAATTTGTCAATCTCTTCAAACTATTATTTTGACCATTTCAGGCCCTTGAAATTAATGGATGTCCTAGTGACGTGCAATTCATATAGGCTTCATGAATGACTGGAAATAGTGCTCCTGGATATCACTAATAAAGCTATCATGGTTTTAACAGAATTAAAATGTTTTAACCTTGAACTCTGAGCTCAAGATCATTAACCCTGAGAAAAATGAAAAAAAGAGATTTTTATGCCCTAATAATGAACAGATAACCAAACAGCTGAATTTTTTCTCTCTGGGCATCTCTGGCTGAAACAACTAAGCAGCCTTTCCCCTTACTGAACCAGCTGTCCCCGCCCCTTCAGGCCTGGAGGTCAGATTTCAAAAGCAAAGCAGAGTTCTGCATGCCACAACCCAACAGGCAAACACTGACGTCCTAAAGCACAGACAGAGGAATCAAAGACGCTAACAAGCCTTGGCAGCTCTAGGTCCACGCAGGGTGCTGTGGGCAACTCCTGCTGAAAAGAAGCAGAGCGAAAAAACAAATGGGCCTTTGCCAAAACAAGGAGGTGAGGACTGAAGAGTCAGCTTTTCTGGTCATCAAACAAATCAGAGCTGAACCCTTCCTCATTAGCAGCGTCTTTTCTACCCAGAAGGAGAACATACGAAGTGCAGACTGACTCTGAGGTACATTAGGATTCATTGAGAAGTCCTGGGAGAGAGGGTTAAGCAAGCAGTGATTGAATATGGCATGCTCATGTGAACATTCGGGGGAGGAGAAAAATCCACTGCACCCTTGTATTTCCACCTATAGGTCTTATTTTCTTAGAACGCATGGAGTGAGATTTGCATTGTTCTCTTGGTTTACTCTCATTATTCAAGTAATAAGAACTGTCATTGTGACTATTCACTATTGTTCGTAATTAGGAGCCTGAGAAGGGAGGCTTCAAACGCACACAGTGTGAAGCCAGCCTAGCAAGTCTGAGGCTGACCTGGACCACAGAGCCCGTGTCAACAAAACCAAACCCAAAAAGAATTGGTTTTCGCCAACTTAGGGGTGTAGGAAATACCACACGATAAGAACTTTTCTTAATTCAAGTAAATCTAATTCCAAGATTCTTTCCATTTGTTTTTGGTAAATTCAATCTTAACCTTCATTAGAATTCTCCCCCTATCCAACTTCATCTTGCTCAACTTTCCTTTACTATTAGAAACACCTGGAATCGTCGGCATATAAGGAGAAAAGCTTTATTTTGGGCCACAGTTTTAGAGGTTATAGTCCGTGATCAGCTGGCCATGTTATTTTTGGACCTAAGGTGAGATAATACATCATCATAGAAGCATGTGGCAGAGCAAAAGGGCTCACTTTCTTGCCAGGAGGCAAGTGAAAGACAAAAAGAAGAGACCGAAGTCCTACATTCCCCTTGCGGGGATTGTCTGCAATAACCTAAAGACCTCCATTAGGCCTTACTTCTTAAAGGTTCCCCATCTCCCAAAAGCACCATCCTGGGGACCAAGTCTTTAACCCATAGACTTCTGGGTGATATTCGAGATCCTAAGAAAAGCACCCCTGCAAATACTCTCTTACTCTTACTGACACATCCTAGCAGGGTGCTTGGAAAATTGGAAAAGGGCTTTTCAACTTCCCTCAGCCAAGGCCATTACCAAGTGACCAAGCCTGCTTGATCTCTTAAAGTGGGCAGCTGTGGCACTCCCAGGCCAAACAGATCCAAAGGGATCTTTGCTGTAGCTGGAATCATGATCCCAGGGTTTAGCATGCCATGGTGGACTTCACAACGGTTGCCCTCAGATAGGGTGTGTATGGTAATTCCCACACACATAGAGCTTACATATGGAGCAAAGGACATAGAAAAGAAGTAGAAATAAAATATACAGTATGGTGGATAGTGATAAAGTGAAAAGTAAAGCAGAGAAGGCAGAAAAGGTGATTTAGGGAAGGGTCCTGAATGTTAAGTAGCGTGGTAGGGAAGACAAGCTAAAAGGAGGACCAAGAACTGAATCTTGGTACGGTGCTAGCATCATACACAGGTAGGTAAAGAGGAATCAGCACAGGAATCGAAGGAGCAGCAA